CCAGGAGTTGGAGGTTGCTGTGAGCTGTGATGCCAGGGCACTTTACCCAGGGGGACAGCTTGAGGCTCTGTCTCAAAAAAAAAAAAAAAAATCCAAATCACCAGAGGATAGTGCAGTGTCCCAGCACTTGTGATATCTAGGAGCCATTACACTCCTAGGCTTCAAGGGTGAGGGGAGGAGTGGTTACCAGGAGTTGAGAAGGTGGGTTTATGAAGAGGGCCAACTGCACAAAGTTGTGGCCTTGATAAAGGAACTCAGGTAACCCATGGCGATCTGAGACAGAGTGAGCCCTGGAGTGAGCACCCTAACAACACCCTTCTCTAACCTCACAGTCTTAGTGCTGCTTGCCATTGACCAAACCAACCAGAAGTTACAGGGCAAGGAAGCCCTCTGATACTGTCCTCATGAGTCAGCCTTCTCCAGCACAGTCCCTTAGAGAATGATAGGGGGTAAATCTAGAGGGGAAGACAGAAGACACACAGTAACCACCTGGTCTTGGGTCATGGACCTACTCCATTTTTCCTCCCCAATTCTATTACCTTATCCTTTGGTCATGACATAATTAAAAACTGCTACTAGGCATAATGCAGAGTTGATTATTGACACTTCATGGCTTCTAAGTTTTAAATTAATGTAATGTTTGTGTAATGGCAAACATTTTGGTCCTGGGGCCAATTCTTGAATGTTAGTAGCTAGGGAGGTTTAGAAGAAGTAGTTTTCATGGGGATAATGGATGATCTAAGCCTCCCAGGAAACAAAGACTGAGAAAGCCTTAGACACTGAGGCACTATACAAATATTAATTTATTATATTTTGCATGCCATATAGTTTCAATTTGCCTTAAAGGTAAATGAGTTCATATTTATGTTCTGGTTCCCAGCGCGAGTGTATCTCTATCCACGTGGGGCAGGCAGGTGTCCAGATTGGCAATGCCTGCTGGGAACTGTACTGCCTTGAACACGGAATTCAGCCTGATGGTCAAATGCCAAGTGACAAAACCATCGGTGGCGGCGATGACTCCTTCAACACGTTCTTCAGCGAGACTGGGGCTGGCAAGCACGTGCCCAGAGCAGTGTTTGTGGACCTGGAGCCCACCGTGGTGGGTAGGTGTTCAGGCAGTAGATGGAGGCTTTCCTGGGGGTGGAGAGAGTACCCCGATATAAAGCCCCACGTGGGCTCCTTTGAATCTCTGTAGGGAAAGGGCAGGATGGACAAGCAAGTGTCTGTGGTGGTGTCAGGTAAGAAACTGAAAGGGTCACGGGCCTGTGGGACCCAGACTTCCAATTTAGGAAAATCTGACATGCAGGGAACAGCTGCTTTGCCAGCAGTCTGGAGAGATTCACTCTGGGTGCCCCAGCCCCTGTGTGCAAAAAAAACCCCATAGATCATTCATCTGATTCCTCTAGATTAGAAGCCCCAGGTAGTTTGCAAGGAGAGAGGACCTTTCAGTGGCCTCCTAGGAGATGAAAGACTCACCTGACATCTGTGTGACCCAGACCACACACAGTGTCCTGAGGGACTGTCCTGCAGAAGTCAGATTGACCTGGTGATTGCCAGTTTGTGAGGGATTTTAAAGTTACACCCTTTGATGTGGCTGTGGGTAGGAAAGAAATGTGTCCCCCATAGAATTAACACTCAAGGGGATGTGAGAGCCTCTTTCCCTTCACTGGGAACCAGTCCTGCTGATGTTTGTACTGCAAGCTGACTTTACCTTCCTGGAGCCATAGTAGCATTTTTGGTTTGTGCATCACACAGAGACATTTTCATAAGACACTCCCAGAGTTGAACGACAAGGAATAAGATGTGCTCTGTAGAGGCACACAGTCCCCAAATGCATGGGTCTTGGTGACTAGTGCAAGAGCTTAAAGACTCAGCACGCTCGGTCTCTTTGTAGATGAAGTGCGCACAGGGACCTACAGGCAGCTTTTCCATCCAGAACAGCTGATCACCGGGAAGGAAGACGCAGCCAATAATTATGCCAGAGGCCATTACACCATCGGCAAAGAGATCGTGGACCTGGTCCTGGACCGGATCCGCAAACTGGTAAGAAGTGCACCCAGAAGGCTTCGTGTGGGCCTCATCTGGGATGGGAGGGCAGGTCTTGGGTTGCACAGGAGAGGTGGTTGTGGCAAATGTTAGACCAGCATCCCAAGTCCATCTGAGTCTACAACAGTCTTACTGTGAAGTGCGCGTGGCGATGCATCCGTAGATCTTTACCGCCTGCCTTTTTTGCTTCCATGTGTAAGGTGTGTCCATTAGGGATGATTTGAATCCATATCAACCTGCAGAGGCAGAGAGGTGACACTGCTTGTCGGGGGTTTGGGTTGTGGCTTCCATAGGCATTGGCTGACGTCTGGTTTCTCTCAGGCGGATCTGTGCACGGGACTGCAGGGCTTCCTCATCTTCCACAGCTTTGGGGG